ATTCCGTGCGTGCCGTGGCCCTGTTTGAGTGGTATTTTGTGGGTGCCTTGGCCCTGTTTGAGTGGTATTCTGTGCGTGCCGTGGCCCTGTTTGAGTGGTATTTTGTGGGTGCTGTGGCTCTGTTTGAGTGGTATTCTGTGGGTGCCGTGGCCCCATTTGGATGGTATTCTGCCCATGTCATGCCTCTTCTTCCCTTCACGTTTCTTTTTCCATATTTTCTGTGAAAAGGGGATAAGAACAGTAAAAGCATACAGAAGAAAAACAAATACCAATTTCTTTTAGTGTTTATTTTGTGATGTACATTTCTTTAGGCCTTTGAAATGAGAAAAGGAAAAGTAAAGAAAAAGCTTCCCACAAGTATGGGAAAGGGAAGGAAGCCTTGGAAGAAATAGGCAGGCTCTTTCGAGATTTGTCGCCTCTGCGTAGGTTCAGATCTGCAGACCTGCGTATAAGCTTGGCAGCAGGCGGGGTGCAAGGCAGGTTGCAGGCGGGCGGCCCCCTCACCAAATCCTGTTGACACATTTTGTTTGGCTTGAATCATATTTGAAAAATATTCAAGTTAGTTTAAAACGTGGAAATTTTCATAATAAAAAAACCCCATTATCCAGCTTTCCTTAAAGAATTGGGAGTGCTGGCATCAGGCTGCTGGTGGGTTGGTGGCCTCCTCTGTGAAAAGACCTGGCTCCTAGGTCATGGCCCCTCCAGCATGGGACAGGGGCTCTGGAGTGTGCCGCTGTCCCTGGCCTAGAAAGTTCTGGACTTGGACTTGGAGCTGGGAGACTCGAGCTGGTGCTTCCTGGTCTCTCCTCTTCACCTGCTCTTGGCAGCCGTGTGTGAGAGAGCACATCTTCAGCATGAGGTCCAGGGTACCTGCAAAAGATCAGATTGCCAGTGACATAGGGACACAGGGACCCTTGGTCAAGTGGGCATTTGGGAAGTGGTGGTGCTTGGTAGCAATCGTGAACATGTAAGGGAATCTCTTTGCTGCCTTCTAAGATAGTGTAAACCATTCCTTTCTTAAAAAAATTATAATGTGTTTTTAAAAATGTGTTTTTTAAAATTATTATTATTATTTTACAAGATCCATGAAGTCTACGTGGTGCTTGATAGGGCGTATCTGGCTACAGCTGGTGTATTTCTGGGTGTTTTATGGCAAATTATTCTCAGATTACCCTTTAATGCAGGAAGGTCTGCCTGTTGTCTGAGCTCCCTGGGTCATATGGAAACCCCTCCAACTTGATGCAAAACAGCTGCCTCAGTCAGCTGTTCCAAGAAAGGAGCATTTTCAAGCCGAAGTGGCAGGGAAAATTTTGAAATGTTGAATTACTCTTTCCTTGCCATTAAAATGTGATTTAATTTTGATACTAACAAATTGTGTAAATCTAAAATGAAGTACTCGGAATGGAGTTTGTGAAGTGTGTTCTGGCAATACTTACGGTATGTCCTGGTGGTGGGGAGTGTTCCCCAGGGAGGGCAGCACAAAATCCCGTTGACCTCCATGTCCCAGGACCTCAGTCCGGCTGGGCCAGGGTCAGGGGCCAACCCACGGGCCTCCCTCCCCTCTCTCTTCTGGGTCCCTGCTGAGACCAGCAACAAAGGGGTCAATTGTCTGAGGCCTCCTTTTGTCTGAGGGGCTCCATGAGCCTCTCTAAATGCCAAAGTGTATCCATGCACGTGGGTGAGTGTGTGTATGCACATATGTATGAGTGTGCATGTGTGCACATGTGCTGGTGCACACGTGTATGCATGGAGTATGTGTGCTTGCATATGCATGCATGTATGCACATGTGAATAAACGTGCACACAAGCACTAAAAGACTATACGTATGCATGTGCATGTCTGAATGTGGATGAGTGTATGTGTGTGTGCCTGCATGTGTGCACATGTGCATGTGTACACCAGTGTGCATATGTGTGTGTGCAGTGTACGTGTGTGGTGTGTACAGGCAGTGGTGAGACTTGCTTAAAGCGTTTCTGAGTTGCTGGTGCATCAGAGCAGGGCGAGGGGCTTTGGAAAGGCCTGACTAGATGATGGAGGTTCCTAAGGCCGAGGAGGAAAATCATCTCATCTCTCAGCGGATCACACAGTTGCCTTTACCTGGCATTTGCTATGGTACAGAAACCCCAGAGAATCTTATACCTCCCCTGCTTTCTCTGTAGGAATGAGGAAGAGCAGGCATATGGAAGCTTCTTACACAGCTCATTTGCCTCATTGGTCTGTTGCAACCTGGGGTTTCAGGGGAAGACTCACAAGAACTTTTCTACACTGTTCCAGCCTCTATTCAGGCCTTCCCCATTGGACCCAGTGCATTCTGTGTGACATTTCAGCCATGTTTCCAGAATTACTGTGAAATACCCTGTTCCCATCCACCCTGGAAGTGGGTTCCCACGTAGTACGGAGGCTTTGCCCCTTCCCCAGTTGTCGTGTGCCCTTGCAGGTCCTGTTCATGCTGAGGCCTGCCAGGAGCCCTGGCTGCTCTGTCATTTGGTTTGAGCCATCCCTGTCCACTGGAGTTTCCTCGATTCACACCTTCTTCCTTAATAAGGTGTCCTTTTAAGAATGACAATAAAACATATTTTATTCAGAAGCCGGGAAAAGACTCATAAAAACCCTTCATTGAAATTCACCTTTGTGAAAGATTTATCTCCCAGCCCCCTTTAACCAGCACAGCTGTCATGAACAACTTTTTCTGTGTGTGTTTTTTTTTTTCCTTGTTGTCCCTCCCACCCCATTTCCTCTCCCTGCTCCAGCAAGGGCTTATCTTTCAACTGTGGAAAAGCCACCAATTAAACTGTACTCCAAAGCTTATCAAAATATTCAGTCAGTAAAATTATCTTATAATTAGCCTCACTGTAAGCCAGAACGTTTTAATCCCAGGAAACGTAAAGTCATCCGGCATTTGAAATCTGTAAATTGCTCATCCTGACCTTCTGTGCACAGCTTCTGCTTTTCTTTCTTTCCCAAAGTAATTTCTTCCTTGTTCTTCAAATTCTTGATTGTCTCGGAGGCATCTTCCTCTTCTGTTTGCTTAAGTTGCAAAGAAAACTTACTGCTAGTTGAGACAGAGAATTGAAAAGTTCAGGTGAGGGTGATATGCCATCAACCAGATTTTATATATTTCATGCCTTCACTTTTAGCTGTTCTTTTTGCAAACACAAGCCCCGATTGCTAATGGCTTGCCCTTGTGGGTCCCGTACTTTGGATGCCTGCAGTGGTATGCATGGCTGAATTATTCTGGAGCCAAGCTATTCAAACAGTATGTGGGGGGGTTCTGCAGGACGTCGAGCTGGGCAGGGGCATTGGACTTTTTATTTCAACCATTTCTCTTCTCATAGCTCTCCCTGCCCTTTCACCCTCTCAGCCTGGGGATCCTCCTGTCGTCTTGCACCACCTGGGACAGCATCATGAATGTTACCTCCCCACCCAATCCTATTCGGACCCACATCAAGGGAACCATAAGTGATGTTTGGGAATCTTAAGGTTAAGGTGCAACTTAGACTTTGGCTACAGAAATGATATTCAGATGATGCTTAGGTTCTTTTTTGTTTTTTGTTTTTTTGAGATGGAGTCTCACTCTGTCACCCAGGCTGGAGTGCAGTGGCGCAATCTTGGCTCACTGCAACCACCACCCGCCAGGGTTCAATGATTCTCCTGCCTCAGCCTCCTGAGTAGCTGGGATTACAGGTGCCTGCCACCGCACCTGGCTAATTTTTTGTATTTTTAGTAGAGAGGGGGTTTCACCATTTTCACCAGGCTGGTCTTGAACTCCTGACCTCGTGATCCACCCGCCTCGGCCTCCCAAAGTGCTAGGATTACAGGTATGAGCCACCATGTCTGGCCGATGCTTAGGTTTTTAACTGTTGTGAGCCTTCTTAAACTAGTCTTGCTGTAGGTACGAGTGGGCTAGTGAAACTTACACAGGCATGTTTGACCTGGTCATCACTTGTTGCATGATGAAACATTTTGAAAGTACCCAAAACTCGTTGAAAAATTAAATTTTGGAATGTACTAACATTTTGATAAATGGAGTATTGCCTGTTTATAGTGCTAGCAGTGGTAGTTATTATTTATAGATTTTTTTCCTATCTGTCACACAGTAGGCATACACATACACACAGAGAGATACAAACACACAAATATATAAAAATTGCTTATCCTTACGTTAATTCTGTGAGAAAGTAATTATTTTGCCCATTTTACATTTGGGAAAATTGAGGCTCTGACAGTTTCAGTAACTTACTGATGCAGCTGAACTTGACTGGCTGGCCTGACCCTTGTAATCCCTTCTGTGAACTAGCCAGGGCCCCTGTCATATGATTTGACCCCCACTTACGCCTGAGAGGTTTCCTCATCATCCCTGCAGAGTAAGAGGAAATCACAGCTTCACCTCAACCTCAACCTTGATGCAGCGCCCAGCAATTGCATGCACCATATCTTGATGTCACATGTGTATTTCAGGCTCAATTTATTTGCTGACCTCAGTGCTGAGACTTGCCTGCCTTGAGCTTATGGGATCGGTGTGAAGGCTGTGATGATCCCCATAGGGAGACTCTGGCCTAGGTGGCCTGGGCTCTACTTGGTGTTCTTATGGTAGGAGATAGAGGGGGGACCAACTCCCAGGATCCCACCATGTATGGGCATGTTCTCCTAATGCCAACCTTGGAATCAGCTACATGCTGCAATCCCATCCCTTCACGACTGTGTCTCGGAGCTAAAAGACCCGTATTTTGGAAACTATTCCTATTGAGAGACACCTCCTGTCTAATCCACAACTAAATATTTTTTGCCTCTATAAGACTCTTTCAAAATACAAATTATCTTTAAAAGCTAAGATGAAACTAAACGTCCGTCATTAAAATGTGTTATTTTTGAAGCATTAGCTGTAGGGCATTTTAGAAAATCTTTAAAACATAATTGGCCATATCAAGTTAATTTTCTTGTGTGATTTCTGCATATTCTTGATATTACTTAATTTGTTTTTCTCTCTCTTTAATTATAGCTTGGGTTGACGATAGCCGTTCGCTGTAGCCATAGGTAAATGTTTACGTTTTTGTTTCTTTTAAGAATTATCCTTAGCAGTTTATAGCTCTTGGTTTGCTTATGCCTCAGACTTTGAGCTTTTTTTTTTTTTTTGGTGATTGCGTTCCTGTGATGTCAGTGTCACAGGTGGAATTGTTCTAGTTGCTTGATTGGTAAGAGCACATTGCTATTTAGAGGAACGAGATCTTTGTGAAAACATGGTGGTAGATAGCACATTTATTTTAAAACAAAAAAAAGGGATATTCTAGGGCATGACGCAGATGCACTATCTGGGTAATGTTCTCACTCTTAAAGAGTGAGACACTCTTAGGGTGTCTCTGAAAACGGGGACGCCCCGCATGACAGGTGAATCCCAGCAGAGACAAACCCAGCAAGGGCTGCTCTGTGAAGCCCTCGCCACCCCTCATGCCAGGCCTCTCTCTATGTCTTAGGATGTCTGACAATGGCAAAAAGCCCTATTTTTGTCTTGCTTCGTGATTTCTGCCTTGGTCTCAACTGTATCACGCTTATGAAAAATGTTTGTTTGTTGCGTTGATATCAACACAAGTAACAGAGAAACCTTTGCATGTGTCAAAATGCATTGAGATGTTAAAGTCAGATCCAGCCCCAGTGGAGGGGTGATAAGCAGGATCCTTCCTGTCCTTACAAAAACCGTGCTCACAGCCTCCAAAGTACCACCCTGTGGTCATAGGCTTCGGGCTTGGGGATGTCTGCTCAGCTGCCCACAAACAACCCAAAGTCACCTGATTTCAGAATAGGTCTGCCTCCTAACAATGCTCATAACAAGTGTATACATGGTTTCAATATACATGTGAATTGGGCAATCATAGGCAATTCCTGAGACCTAGAAGCTGCGGGGGAGCATGTAGGTTGTAGCAGGAAGAGGGCAGGAGAGGACCCGAACCCTTGGAATGAGCCTATGGGGAGAAAGGTTCTCATGTGGGACATTTCTGGAGACCTGTGAAAGAAATTGCTCCAGAGACGCTCAAGATCCTGCAGGGGAAAGAAATACATTTTCTTGGCCCATTACTAGGGGCACGGCTGAGTCCCCATACAAAAGAGAGATTAACTAGAGAAAGCATGCAAATTTATTTAATATAAGTTTTACATAAAATGGGAAACAAAGACCCCAAGTGACAGAGAAACCTGCATGTTTTTAATGTTAGTTTGATGGAGAAGTGCACAGTTGTAGAGGTGGATAATTGGACAAAGCGGGTATGATCTAATAGTGATAAACTGGGTGGGGAGTTGGGGACTTAACAAACGTAGCCTGTTTGTTCAGATTCTGTGGTCCTGTGTCTTCAGAGATAAGTGTGTTTCTTTTCTCTGGGTATATGGAGGCTACCTCTCAAATGAGAGTTTTGTGGCCTGTATCGGGGAGGAGGGGAAGGGGAAGGTAAGAGTGACCTTCCTGCTTCTGCTGTTTTCTCAAATGCCAAGGTGCCGGGTTTTAGTGTAGTGTGTCCTGAACCCCATCAATTGTTTGTATGTTTCTGGTCCTGTGCGTGCATGATGCATGCCCACGACAAAAGTGTGGCGTCCTGCAGAAGGGTCCTCTTCCCTTGTAACCCCCACCAGGCTGCTGCAGCTGCTAAGGCACACAGCTACGGCACGCTTAGGAAGAAGCATGGCGCGCACACAGACCCCTAACCCTAAAACCAACTGTGTGTGTGGTATGATGGGGTGCGATGGGTATGGAAGTGCTCTCTCTGGAACTTGCAGGAGCCTCTTTTTCTAGAATGTTCTCAAGGTGGACTGCTCCAGAATGAGGATCTTGCTCTAGTTCAGAGACAAGCATACTCTTCCCCATGATGTCTCACTGTGTTGCAAGGGCTGGGTTTGAACTCCTAGACTCAAGCAATCCTCCTGCCTTGGCCTCCCAAATTGCTGGGATTACAGGAGTGAGTCGCCACGCCTGGTCAAGGTAGGCTTCTGAGAGGAAGGAAATCTTAAACTATCCTCGTTCCTGTAAAGTGTAAAAGTGGCAGGGAAGCCCATCTGACTCAGGCAGATGCCCCTGGGAGGCTGATAACATGGGCCTCTCAGAACACATAGTCTTTAAATTGCTGGCTGGCATTGCTGTGGAGGAGAAGCAGAGTTTGGGGAGAGCGTGGAGGTGTGGGGTGGATCCTGGCGACTTCAGATTGCTTCTGTAGTCCTACTAGTTCAGCCTTGACCCCAAACTTAGAACCTGCTCCTCAAACAAGCCCTGCAGAGAATTGGACAGAATGCAAAGAGGAAGTTAGCAGCTGTGTGTTGTACATGAGCTTGCTTCTTGAGGCTCCAACCCCCACCTTCTGTGCTCTGCTCTCCCCAGGAGACATCCTAGCACATGTGGCTTCCGCCTGCTGTGTTTCCAGAGATGTTTGTCTCCAGGCTGTCTTTATAACCTTTAAGGTGTTAAGTGCAGAGCAGTTAACAAATATCGATCTTTACATAAGTGCAACAATAAACAAACAAAAATCTCAGTAAGTGGGAGAAGTAACAACCGAAAGTGATGAGATTGAGGGAAGGAAAGGGAAGACATCTCCTGAGGCTGCCTTGCAAGGTCCAAGGTCCTTCACCATCTACCTTGGGATCTGGGGACCAGGGAGTGAGTGGTAGCCCAGTGAAGCCAGTATTCACAAAAAGGCTGCCTGCAGCAGCTGGTGTCATCTGTAGAAGAGTCTGAAGACTTTGGGTGCAGAAAGAATGATTAGAAAGTGATTGCAGTAACTCAGAGACAGCATGAGGACTTTCTAGGCTTGGCTGGGCCTCTCACAAAATATGAATGTCTGATTTGCACAAGCCAAGCTGGGGAGAGTTACTGAGGAGCCTGTGACCTGGTCGCGGACTGACGTCTTCAGTACTGTGGAAATGGAGAAGGGATGATCAAAGGGTTGTGTTTTCCAGAAATTACTTCCGAAATCTAAGGAATTCTGATTTTAAAATTCTGGAAAGTACAACAACATTTGTAAATTTGTGGTGGGGACAAACCTACCTTCTGGGAAATCCCCATTTTCCCAGAACTGATGACACTTCACGAGGTGTCACCGAAGAGCTGTTTGCACATCAGGTCTCTTCTTCCCCTCGGGCACAGGAGGACCTGATCTTTCCTCTAAGAGGCCTGCAGGTCACCCTGTGACTCTTCCTTCTTTTTCTTTCTTTCCTTCCTTCCTTCCTTCCTTCCTTCCTTCCTTCCTTCCTTCCTTCCTTCCTTCCTTCCTTCCTTCCTTTCTTTCCTTTCTTTCCTTTCTTT